TATATATATATATATATATAGTTTCACCGTTTTAATTAATCACGAAATAATTTTGTTTGTAGTTAAGCATGGCCAAACGTGAAAGTAATTTTGAAAAGTGCAGAGACAGCGATGGACAGATTTTTTTTTTTAGCGATAAACAGAGCCGCGTTTAGGGTGAGTGATTTTACATTGTGGATAACGGAGCCAGGAAGTGAAGAAGTGAATCACCGACACTTGGATAACCATTCAAATTGCTATCAATTGTCTCAGTATGTATAATTGGCAAGCAGCTTTGAAAATTTGAATTGATTTTCCCCCGATTTTGAATATTATCATACAAAAAATATTCTTGATACATTGCACTTTGAGGATCAGAATGATATTATCACACGACATTGATTATACTTTAATCAAATCAAGAAATCACTCAGTTGAAAATTGCTATGGTGAACGTTGATTTGATCAAATTTATAATCATTTTCTTTCTGATCACGATGATTTAGTTCCCCCCCCCCTTTTTTTACAACAATAAAAATATTGAATATAATAGAATATTGCTAAATATAATAGAATTGTTTTCAACTTTATTCACCTTGAAGAGCGTACCGCTTGGATCTTCCGAAGCCAGGGCCAACCTTGTCTTTAACCCCGCACCTTGGCAGTGCCATAAGCTTGTACGTTTCTTCGTCGAAGTCACCTGAAAAGAAACGATTTTTTTCGGTTAAAAGTAGACTCTTTAAAGAAGAAAAAAAAGTCTAATGAAAATTTTTCTATTTTTCGATTCGAATCTTGGTTGAAAATTGCCCTTAATCACCAGAATCCTCCCGAAGGGAGTGTTTGAAGGAATTCTTTACAACGTAACGTATGAAACAGTTACACCTGCATTATTTATTTCGCATCAAGGCTAACATCGAGTGTAGGTTCAGTTTAGATCGCAGGATTCGCAAGGATATCGATCCCCCGGCCATGCCACACACGCTTCTTCGTGTTCCCTATTCACGATCATTCGCTCGTGTACATATATATTTACTTGTATCACCGTGCATATGCATCAGCGTAACACGAGCGCATAACATGTACATGCATAATGTGCAGAGCACGTGAGAACATTAGGCTACTTGCACACCTCGAGTTCGAAGATAAACTCTAATCAAATCATGATCAAATCAACGTGTTAGACATCGAAACCAGAGACTTTCATGTGCAAACTTTTCGTTCGCATTATCTTTCTTATCTAGCATCTAGTTTTTTTTCTTTTTTTTGTTTTACAGCGAAAAACAAAAAAAAATCGCAGGGATGTTTATATGATTGTATATATAATATACGATAAGACAATATACAATTTCGTACATAATTGTATATATAAT